GACCACCATTGTCCATCTCCACACATCTTATGATGGAATCCCCAACAACAACTGCTTTCTATTAGGCCTCACCATAGTCTCCAAGCCGGTCTCCACAACTCCACTAGCCTCAGTGCCTCTCTCCACAACACCACTAGCCTCAGTGCCCCTCTCCACACCACCACTAGCCTCAGTGCCCCTCTCCACACCACCACTAGCCTCAGTGCCTCTCTCCACACCACCACTAGCCCCAAAGCCTCTCTCCACACCACCACTAGCCCCAGAGCCTCTCTCCACAACACCACTAGCCCCAGTGCCTCTCTCCACAACACCACTAGCCTCAGTGCCTCTCTCCACAACACCACTTAGCCTCAGTGCCTCTCTCCTGCCCACCACTAGCCTCAGTGCCTCTCTCCACAACACCACCCCAGCGCAGTGCCTCTCTCCCACAACACCACTGGCAAGTGCCTCTCTCCCACAACACCACTAGTCTCAGTGCCTCTCTCCACAACACCACTAGCCTCAGTGCCTCTCTCCACAACACCACTAGCCTCAGTGCCTCTATCTACAACACCACTAGTCTTAGTGCCTCTCTCCACAACACCACTAGCCTCAGTGCCTCTCTCCACAACACCACTAGCCTCAGTGCCTCTCTCCTCAACACCACTAGCCTCAGTGCCTCTCTCCTCAACACCACTAGCCTCAGTGCCTCTCTCCTCAACACCACTAGCCTTGGTGCCTCTCTCCTCAACACCACTAGCCTTGGTGCCTCTCTCCTCAACACCACTAGCCTCGGTGCCTCTCTCCACAACACCACTAGCCTCAGTGCCTCTCTCCCACAGCACCACTAGCCTTGGTGCCTCTCTCCTGCCACTAGCCTCAGTGCACTCTCTCCACAACACCATTACACTCTGAAAGTGCAGAAAATGAATTATGAAGGCAACAGACTGTGCAAAATGCCTTTTATCCACAACTCTAAGTCTACCAGAATCCTACAGTAATCCATCTGCCTTTCCTAGTATGTCTCTCGCGGCAGTGGCTTTGCTGATTCAGTCACAGGTTTCTTCACCAGATAATTTACAATCTCAGACTTCAAAATACAATCTCCTGCCGCAAAATAAGAAGACTGTCTACAGATTAGACAACAACAAACCACCAAAAGTGGGCATTAGAAACAAATGCATAGCAATTGTTACACTGAACTAAGTCTGCCATTTCAATTAGGAGAATAATTTAAATCTAACAAATCTTAACTTTATATTTATCCTCCTGTAAGATACCTCAGATTACCTCAGGTTATCTCAGAATATCTCCAACTACACACTTAGAAACAGCACTCTCCAGAATATCTCCAGCTACACACTTAGAAACAGCACTCTCCAGAATATCTCCAACTACACACTTAGAAACAGCACTCTCCAGAATATCTCCAACTACACACTTAGAAACAGCACTTAGAAGTAGCACCAAGCTATATTAGACAAGCTAATGACACCAAGCCTTATATAACTCCTAAAATCACCGCCCACTAGGAATGTTTAACACCTGGGTAGGCCTCTGCTTATTTGCAAACAATAGCTAATTAACCAGCAATCAACAGCAAGTAACTAGCTTAATCAAATCAAATGCCTTATAATTACCAACAGGAACTCAAACCTTGGGCAATCAGTAACCTTTTCCTACAGATGAATCTTACCAACAGGAATTCAAACCTTGGGCAATCAGTAACCTTTTCCTACAGATGAATCTTACCTGTAACAGTAGAAAAGAAAGCTCTTAACACAACTCTTAGACAGTTGAAGCTTCTGTAAAACTCTCCAGAATATCTCCAACTACACACTTAGAAACAGCACTTAGAAGTAGCACCAAGCTATTTTAAGATAGAAGCATTCAAAAGGTTAATCTTCAGTGGGTAAAAAAAAATAAAAAGCTGAGCTAAAATTCTTATTATATTTTTTTGTAAGTAGAAATAATTAACAAAAATCAGCTCAAAGAGACAGCTGTTCAAACAGGACAACAACTTCCTGAGAATAAATGCAATTTTTGAAGAGCGTGTTTTCAAAATAGAAATAATTACATGTTTGCTTCATGCCAATCTCTGGTAACAAGTGGTTTTCGTTAAGTTTCAGAGAGTCTGTGTCCCTGCTTGAAATGAGCGCAGTTTGAAGTTCACAAAATGAAAGGCAGCACTTTCAGTTATGTGATGCTTGTTGTAGGGAAAATACTGATGTCCGTAAAATCCAGAAATCATTTGGAATGCCATATTTTGTTCACTTGGTGGCAATGTGTTCTAGTTTGCAAAGGCATCCCTTTTAATTGCCCCGTTTTGTTCCTTAATTGTATGGTTTTTGAAAAGAAAAAAGTAAAGTTTGAAGGTAAGTTTTTAAAGGTGACAGTGCACAGTTTTAAAGGGAAACTCTAAGCCCCAACACAACTTTAACAGTTTTGGTGTCTAGATCATGCCACTGCCGGCTCACTGGGCAATTTCCTGTCATTTAGAAGTTAAATGACATTTGCTTCTGCCCATTAAGTACTAGCGACACCTACCCTGGCTATGACTCACACAAGCTCCATGAAAAAAAAAGTTTTATTTTTCAATCAGATCTTGCAGCACAGTGTGTTTAGGAGACAAGAAAATGTAAAAACTGTCAGGAAGGGTGTAGGAAGGCTGTGAGCGTCTCAGCCAGAGGAGGTGTGGCTTAGGCTGCATAAACAAAGTGCTAAATTATATGCCATTTAGGAGTTATAGCAGTGAGACTATAGTGCAGGGGTGCCCAAAAGACAGATTCCCCAGATGTTGACCTACAACTCCCATGATGCTTTGCATGCATTTGGAATGGCAAAGCATCAAGCTGTAGTTTTAAAACCCATGGGGATCTATATTTTGGGCACGCCAGCTATAGAGGGATCAACTATACACCAAAACAACTTCAATTACTCGGAAGTTGTTTTTGTGCTTGCAGTGTCCCTTTAAGCAAAAAATGGTAATTGTTCTGGAACTGCGTCTTTGAGAAATACAACTGAGCAATACTTTACTTCTGTTTTTAGCTCCTCGCAGATTAAGCAGCCAAGAGCAACACCGTTATTGTAGTTGTGCTACAAAACAAAACAAGAGTGTATAAAAGATGGCAGTTACTGGATCATCCACTGATCTTCTTGTACATGTGCAATGAGATGAAAGATATGTATTGTTAATTTTGGAGAAGACTCCTATCCTCAAGCAGTCTGTGAGTGACAGCTGCTGCAAAATTTTAATTTAGGAAAAAGCAGCTCATTAGAGCTCCATCCTATGTCACATTTTGCAAAAATTCTAGAGTTTTATAGATTCTCTCAAGCCAAATTCAAAAGCCTCTCTTTAACCAATAACATTGAAACTAGTAAAATACTTACTAAGGTGACTTCATAAATGTAAGTAGTGTTATTCTAGTGTTCTGCATATAACTAACCAACAGTGAGAAATGCCAAATATACATTATATGAATGATGTAAAGAGCAAGGCAATTATTATAAATATACCTTCTATTGACCCAAAATGCTAAGTGGCAATGTAATGCTGCCATTAATTTAAAACCGTCACATAATGCCAGCAGAGTTTGCTACTGTGCATTTTTCTTGTGTTTTTCCCTCTGCACTGTACTATAGCCAAGTCTCATTGAGCTAATTAGATTGATGCATCAACTTTTTCCTATGGAACAAGAGAGGATAAGTAAAAAGCAGAAAGTTTTATTTTATTTTTTACTTGTACTGAATGGCTAGTGAGGACAGTTCAATGGTTCCTACAAATTATTCTGTACTCCGCACTATAAAGGAACTTTTTTTGGCACTGTGAATTCCTGAGGACTTTGTCAAACTGAAAACTGCTTGGAAACCTGAAGGACTCTAAATTTAGCTTCATGGTGACTACAAAACCCGGTTCTGTTTACAGTTCTTGTCCGTTGATTGAGTTATGTTATATCATATTACAGGTTGTCCAGATGTGTTTCTTTTGAAGTATTTTTTAAATAAATCTTCCACCAGTTTATAAATCTAACCTGACATGAAGCTTCATTTCCAAGTGTATGACCTCTTTATCTTTACTTTCCCCCTACATGTAGGACCAGAGTTATTTAGCTCAAAGAGCTTTGCGGTTCAAGCCCAGAAGAAGATTCTGAGCAAGATGGCAACAAAGTCCATGGCAAATATGCTTATTGACGATACAAGCAGTGAAATCTTTGACGAGCTTTTTAAAGCAACCAAGGAACACGTAAGGAATAAGAAAGAAGCTCACAAAATCCTTAAGGACCTCATAAAAGTCGCAGTAAAAGTTGGCATTTTGTACAGGAACAACCAGTTCAGCCCGGAGGAACTGGAAATTGTGGAAAAATTCAGGAAAAGGCTGAATCAGACAGCAATGACTGCTGTGAGCTTCTACGAAGTTGAGTACACGTTCGATAAGAATGTGCTGTCTGGACTCCTTCAAGAATGTAAATCACTTTTACATGATTTAGTGCAACGTCACCTGACACCAAAATCTCACAGTCGAATCAACAGGGTTTTCAATCACTTTGCAGATGTTGAATTTCTTACTGCCCTCTACAGCCTTGATGGGAATTGCAGGCCATACCTCAAAAGGCTATGTGAGGGAGTGAATAAACTCCTTGATGAAAAGATCCTTTAAAAAATTGCCTTTGAACTTCTCATGTTTGCATAATGTTGTAAGAAAATGGAATATTATTGATATTATTTCAGGTGGCAAGATAACAGCAGATGTCTGTAGAGAATGCAATGTGTGAATACTTAATTTTTGTTTTGTTTTTTTGGTTCTATGTTCTGGAATTACTTGGATATTTTTATTTTTTATTATATGTAATGAATGAGGCATTCATCCGCAATCACCAGTATATTCCCTTAAGCAAGGAGAAAAATAGATCGTACAATAATTTTTTTGTAAACTTTGACTGATGTCATCGACAGACCATTTCAAATTGTTTGTGAGTTTAAGAACCCATGGTACTCCAAGAAAGGAATGTTGAGTGTGATCATTTCTGTCAGTGGACAGTGCTTGAACTCTTCTGGTTTTGGGGGATTTTAAACCCTCTGCTTCACCACTTGCTTTTATGTTTTCATTTACTCTTAAATCTATGAAACCGTGCAGCTTGCCAATAAAAGCAAAAATGTTGCATGACACAGAGTTGTGTATGAATGTACAAGAAAAGGGTCGCCAAAATTACAGTAAACCAGAAATTTGAAATCAATGTAATGAGTTGGGAAAATGCTTTGTATGAACAATTGTGTTCCCTAAAATTCGCAATTTTTCATATGCCAGTATTTGTTTGATAACCTAGTATTATAGAAGGGCTAAACGGCATTGCCTTAATGAGTAACTATGGAAAAGACTGTTAATGTACACCGTTCATTCTTTCTCCTGGAAATTTGGAGAAATCATGAAATTTTAAAAACACACTCGTATGTTAAAATTAATCATTCATTTACATTAGTGCTCCTCTTGTTTAGAAGAAGAAGAAGAAAAAGGAAAAAAAAAGTCAATCACTATAAAAACATACCAGTGATCAAGCGCCACTCTGCGTTGAGAAATGGGGAACATATGCAGTATTTCCCATACTCCACCAATCCTGAGTTTTTTTGTAGAGACGTATGGGATATGGTAGGTATCGTCATGCTGTGTGGGATGATGTCGAACATGAACACATTATAAAAATTCAAAATTGAGGGTCTGAAGGAGGGACTGTCTAGACTAGAGGCATGCTATTGGACAAATATAACCATTGACATTCTCAGATGATTACACAGATCACGGAAAGGTGTAACATCTGTGCACCAAAAAGTGTACATTAAGGTGTCCTTGCTGTCTCCTGGTTATTTGCTGTATAAATGGATAGATGTCAAATGATGGTTTGTCATTAAAGAGATACACCAATGCAAGTTCCAGCTATTTTCAAAATTAGGAATAAAACAAATACAATTTTAAATACAGTGTTGAAAAGGGTCTATAAAAGAACCATATGAATCATAGACCTCTGATAAGCAGATACTTATGGGTTGTCCATTTGACCATAATTGGGCCAGCAACACTGAGAACTCAATCACTTCCTAACCCATGCATTAGAAGCAGAAAATTTGAGATAATGCACAACGTGAATTTCATTTTCATTTGTTTCTTTTTTTTTTATTTAATTTTTGAATCCTCCCAATTGCTGGAGCCCAGTGTGTTCATTTAAATTACATAAGGTAAAAGGTTTTAAACCAATAATTCTCATTTGTCGTGTAAGGTTTAAATAGTTGGTGTTTGTTTACACTATTTGTATTGTTGATGGTATTTTTTAATAATTTGTTAGCCCCCTCAGAAACAATGATGTAATAAGTCATAACAAACCAGCTTTTAACCCCTTAAGGACACGTGACATGTCACGATTCCCTTTTATTCCAGAAGTTTGGTCCTTAAGGGGTTAAAATTTATATCTCAAAATTAGAATGTAACACTTAACAAATGCATGACTGTATAGAGAGGAAAAAGTTAAACAGGACATTCTATACTTGCATAGGCTCTTTACAGACCAGAATGTAGTCCTTAAACCTATTTCTGTATTTAGCTTTCAGTAACTGTTTGTATTTCGAACAAACACTTCTAATTAACTGGGTGACTGTCTTTAAAATTTAATGCAAATATATCATTCTTAAACGTGGAAACTTAATACGTGAGCTGATACCAACCCATAAAAATATTAACAATTAACCCTCAGGCAGTCCTTCAAAAAGGTTCCACGCACTTAGTTAACACTGCTAGGAGCTATTGAGCTCTGTATGCCACACTGATCTATATACATAATTGATATCCTCTGTTCTTAGGCATATTAAAGGAGTCTGTGAGACCGGATCACTGACACTCCACATTTCAAAAGCACAAGTACGTATAACTCGACCACTTCTACAAAACCCATCACTTAACAGAATATTTCCTCTCCACCCACTGTTTTTCTTCATTGATAGCCTGGAGTCAAAATACATAGTGGAAACATGCTATTAAATGCTGAAATATAGTGACTAATTCCTTCCTAATTTACAGTACCTGTTTAATATATTTACCAGGGTTAGACAAGTTTGTGTGACAATTGTTCAAATAAATTGGTTCTGAAGGGGTTAATTGCTTGTTTGTAACATAAATACAAAATAAGTTCACATATTCATGCATTTCTTGGCCTTTTCCATGCTAATCTTATATTTATTTCCTTAGCAGATACAATTTTCTGTTTCCCATTGACTCATGCAGTTTCTGTAATGAGGCCATAACACATTTTGCTTGTGGTTAAATTCTAGCAACAGGAATTATAGATGTGAATTTATAGAAACCTACCTCAGACAATTAAGTTAAAAACACACTTTGTTTACTGTAGCATTTAGACCATTAGGACTTAGAAATCAATGTCATTAAAGGACCATAACAACTACAACCTGGTCTAGTGGTTATGGTTTTAGGAAGTTGCAGTGTGACACAGAGGGTCCCCAAGATGTCACCGCCTGTGTTATTGCTTATGTGGAAGTTCCATTCCCAAATTAGCAGTCTCAGTTATGTCCAAATTCGGACAGCATTGATTGACTGAGTATATCAGCTGACGCTCTCAGCCAAAGGAGCCCACACATACCCTACTTTAAAAAAGGAAGCACAAGTACACCTGCAAGAACAAGGCGTTGAACAACTACCAGCACAATACGAGTGGAGAAGTGAAACAAATCATAAGCAAGAAGGTAAAAAATACACATAAAAATCTGTAGATACTTTCCTGCAAACCAGATGACAATCAAAGGCTATCCCGAAAACCTCTTAAAGGACCACTATAGTGCCAGGAAAACACTCGTTTTCCTGGCACTATAGTGCCCTGAGGGTGCCCCCTCCCGCCCGGCTCTGGAAAGGGGAAAAGGGGTTAAACTTATCTTTTTCCAGCGCTGGGCGGAGAGCTCTCTGCCTCCTCTGATCCGCCCCGTCGGCTGAATGCGCACGCACGCGCGGCAAGAGCTGCGCGCGCATTCAGCCGATCACATAGGAAAGCATTCTCAATGCTTTCCTATGGATGCTGGCGTGCTCTCACTGTGAAAATTACAGTGAGAAGCACGCAAGCGCCTCTAGTGGCTGTCAATGAGACAGCCACTAGAGGGAATGGAGGAAGGCTTAACCCGTTGATAAACATAGCAGTTTCTCTAAAACTGCTATGTTTATGAAAAAATAGGTTAACCCTAGAAGGACCTGGCACCCAGACCACTTCATTAAGCTGAAGTGGTCTGGGTGCCTAGAGTGGTCCTTTAATGATTTATAGAATGACTCAAAGTACAGCATTGGGGGCATCAGGGTATACACCTGTAAAGTTTCTGTTTACACTTGAAGTGAAAAATGTTCTAAGCTGGAGGACAGAGTTCCAGAATGAATACTTTTGTTGTATAGTGGTCATTGTAAATCCTAAAACTAATCAAGTTACAATTAATTGCATTTTACTGTAATGCAATTTGATGTCTGCCAGCTCGGGGTTACAGAGAATGTTGAGTCTTTTCTTCCATAGGCCTTCAGGGGAACAAGACCGTGTTGTCCCACTTTGTGAAGCATCTCATAACATCAGACATATCCTAGACTTAACTGACCTAATGGAATTTAATCAGATATTGAAATTGACACAAGAGTGTGTTGGGTCAGAGGAATGAACGGGTCCTCAGAAGAAATAAGAAGAATACTTCTCTTTATAGTGTGGATATACACCAGCCATGATATGTCAAAGGAGGACCATCTCTTTAAGATAATCTGACATGGTTTTCAGTTAAGGAGTCCCTTCCCCCAGCTATTTTAATGCCCAAGTATGTCTGGTGCTTAAAAATAATAATTTAGTGAGAGGTTTAAGAGTCAAGAGGGAATTGGTGGAAGGCAAATGGAAGTGTTTGAGTTTTAACGGTGGTGGGTTTATAAACGGAAATTCTGCCATACTCAGTCAAGTTTTTCAACGAGGAAGGAATGGACTCTTCAGGTTTAGTTACAGTATACAGAGTGTTACGGGCACCCAGAGTGGAAGTGAGGCTATGAACTTTTGGAGAGTTCAGTAACTTAAAAATGAGTTAAGCCAGTACGAAAATAAGTGATAATACTTGGTGAGAGCCAAGTGCTCTGAGAGGAACCCTGAGTTTAGTATTTTTTCTGAGGAGGAAGTATATAAGCTGAGAATGGCAAAAGGAAAAATATTTTTGTAGGAAGACAGTCTTTTTGGATTATTTCAATTAAGTCTAGGATACGTCTGGTGTTATGAGATGCTTCACAAAGTGGGACAACACGGTCTTGTTCCCCGGAGGCTAATTGTGGTAAGGAGAGGGTTGACTATAGTTCAAGGTTCTTCAAATTCTGGACATCCAGATCTTGCTGAAACACAACTCCCATGATCTCTGGCTATCGAATTCACTAAAAGAATCATGAGAGTTGTAGTTCAGCAGCATCTGGAGGGCCAGAGTTTGAAGAACCCTGCTCTAGCTGCTAGCATTTTGACAAACATTTTCATATCCGAAAGAGGGTTTTGAAATTGGAGAAGAAGGTTGGGAGTTTTCCAAGTTTAGGGAGTTGTCTGTGGGTGGTTAGCATATTAGAGGGGATCATTCCAGTGACCTTAAACATATTAAAAGAGCTGGGTAGCAAGGTGGTCAGTGACTATACTAGTAAATGTTTGACAGGCCACCAAGCCTTGTGCTTGGGTAAGGATTGAATTGCTGGAAGGATTTCCTCTGAAGTTAACTGTGACTCTAAGAAACTTAAACATTAATTCAACTGCAAGAAACCTAGGAAAAAGAAGGCTACAAATAAAATTTATATTTATATATATTCTTCGTAGTAAATTTGTCTTTTTTTTTTTTTTTTAATTTATTTTTTTAACAAGTCATTTCCCAATAAGTGGGATAACTAGGGCACAGGCTGTAGCCCCTAACGGTGATTATAACGGAAAACCCCATATATGACCACCCACATAATGTGAGATTAAGAGTAATCGCTAATGTGAGAATTATCAGGAATTCAAAATTAATTTTAAATTCAAAGTCAAGCTTGCCAAAAATATAGCTGACTTAGAGATGGTGCAGAAATCTTTGTTGCATTTCACCATAGTTTCTGCCAACAGGTCTGCAAAGAGGCCAAGGCCATAGTAGGGATCTAGGAAAGAAAGTTTGCGTGCAGCAAATATCACAAACTCCTTAAGAGCATCATAGCAAAGTGTTGTGATCACATCACGGGGAATATCAGAAGCAAGGCCTCTGTGTTAGGATATTCTGCAGGCTCTATGCAAGAGCCAGACTCAATCTTCCAGGCCAGCATGAAC